AGAACAAATTTAAGTACAGAGCATTTGGCTGTCTCTGAGGAGATGCTATTCGAAGTGGTTAGATGGGATGAACCTGATGGTCATATTAGTATGTATTCATTCATGTTAGTATGAAACACTGAAAAATGTGGTTGATTCAGAAAACCATGGGTATGTCCACATGGCAGTGTGCTTCCTAGGATCCTGGAAGATATGGGGCAAAAGCATTTTTATAACAAAGAGTTAAGTGATGAAAACAGTTAACATACATTCATATATAAGGTGTGTTCTTTGAGGAGAAACTGGGACTAACTTTTGCCACAGTAAATGAGTAGGCTGATTCTGAGATTTACCTACAAACCAGGATGGCGAATCATTCACTACTGAACTTTGAGGGATGATGTATTTAGTGCTTTATTAGAGAAATTAATTTGATTGGAGACTAGACTTCCTAAGACCACTATGGCTTACCAGAAAGAGTCCAGACTTCATTTAGTGCCAGACATACCTAGGTTTCAACAGTGGTTCCCCCAGCTGTGTAATTGATGTTATAGTCTGCATCTGTAAGAACAAGAAAATAATGACATCTTTCTTCAGCCTTTCTGTTTAGACGATGAAATGAAACAACGGATTAAAATGCCTGTCATCAAGTAGGCATTCAGCAAATCATCATGGTTATGATTATTATTATGGAGTAATAGAAGTGTACACCGGATCTTATTCTACCTCTGTCTCCTCTGCCTCTTTTCCCCACCCTTCTCTCTTTCAAGGCAAAGGAAACCTTACCTCCCCAAGTCAGCGGACTTCTGTAGCAAGCAAGAGGGAGTCCATCGCCGACCAGTGGCCTAAATTTAGGCTTAAGAAAAGCTAAGCGCTTTCTTAGTCTATACTGGGGCTTTCTTAGCCTATAGTGGGGCTTTCTTAGCTTATCGGGGGGCGGCGCGACCCGACCGGCACCCAGTTGGAGCCTGGTGCAGTGGGCGGGGTAATACAGTTCCCTCGGGGTTAGAGTCATTAGCATGCTGCGTGTGATTGGCTGGAGGAAGCCGCATGTTAATGATGTTTGTTACTGTTTTAGTGTTTCTGGACGATTTAAAGGCAAAAACTGTATTTTAAACTTTGTTATTTGACTGAATTATTATGAAATAGAAAATAAAATGTGTCTAAGTAGACAAATGAATTGAGAAAAAGTCACCATGACTAACAAGTATGTGGCTGTCATAGACCTGGCAGAGGCAGTAACCTTAAACCCAAGATTATACTTTCAGGGATCATTTCTATAGTTTGCTACTAGAGAAGTTTCTCTGAACGTGTAGAGTACCCGAAACCACGAGGAGGAGGTGCAGTGTTCCTTCCTGAGCGTGAAGCCGACTTTGGGTGTTGTTTTTACAGCTGCCTTTTGTCGTTGATGATTGTTCCGCCTCTTATTTGGAGAAGTGAGAGGGAAAGGATGCCGTCTGAGTGGTTTTTTTTTTTTTTTTTTTTTTTTTTACTGCTAATAGGTGTCTGGAAAATAGTTTTGGTTTAGGTACTGCGTGAAGAGAGGAAGCTGTGCTTTTTTTAATGTAAACAGTAGTAGTGTGTATTTCATTAACTTTTGGATGTCTGTACGATGTGGTTTTTAGTGTCCTATATAGATGAGAATTTTTTTTTATTAGATTATTGTGTGTAGTTGCAGTTCACACTAAATGGGGTTTTTTTGGTTTCTAGTCATTTCTTTTGGAACTTTTTTTAGTCGAAAGTACAACCTGCCAGAGTAGTTCTTGGAGTTCCCAATTTTTGAATTTCTCACCCGTTAATGCCTTTTGGCTTAATTACTGAATTTCCTGTTCAAGCTTTATTTTTAGTTATGTATATTTTAGCTTTCAAGAGGATTTTTAAAGATTTCTTGTGATTAATATAAATGTTGGTTTCTATAAAGTGTGGTCCTGTATTTGTCTAAACTGCAAAATGACAATCACAGTATGTTAATGTTTTATACAGAAATTTTTCTTGTGATGAGCACTGTTGTGATTTTTTGCTGTTGTTGTTTAAAGATTTTAAGTAATCTCTACACCCAAGATGGGGCTCAAACTCAGAACACTGATATCAGGAAGCACATGCTCTATCTACCCTGCTCTACCCACTGGGCCAGCCAGGTACCTCATGATGAGCGCTTTTAAGATCTACTCTGTTACGGGCTCTTGGGTCTCTGTGGGTTAAGCGTTGGACTCTTGATTTTGGTCAGGTCATGATCTTGTGGGTTGTGAGTTCCAGCCCTCTGATCATGCTCAATCCTGACTGGGGAGCCTGCTTGGGATTCTCTCTCCCTTTCTCTGCCTCTCTCCTGCTTGCTCTCTCTTTCCCCAAATAAATAAAATTTTATTTTTTTAAGTAAGAAAAAAAGAACCCTTTCTGGGCCACCTGGCTGGCTCAGTTGGAGAAGCAGGTGGCTCTTGATCTCATTGCCTCAAGTTTGAGCCCCACATGGAATGTAGAAATTAAATAAATATAACTTTATTTTTTTATTTTAAGAGTTTTTTTTTTTTTTAAGTTTTATTTATATCCGAGAGAGAGGGAGGGTCAGAGGGAGACAGAATCTGAAACAGGCTCCAGGCTTTAAGCTGGCCTGACACAGGGCTCGAACCCACGAACCGCGAGATCATGACCTGAGCCGAAGTTGGACACTCAACCGACTGAGCCATCCAGGCGACCCATAAATAAATATAACTTTAAAATGATCTTGCAGTTTGTGAGTTCGAGCCCTGCACGGAACTTGCTTGGGATTCTTTCCCCCCCTCCTCTCTTTCTGCCCTTTCCCTGCTCTTGCTCTCTTTCTCTCTCTCTCTCAAAATTAAGAAAAATACTTTTTAAAGGTTATTTATTTATTTACTTTGAGAGAGAGAGGGAGAAAAGAGCTCAGAAAGGGCAGAAAGAAGGGAGAGAGAATGCCAAGCATCATCTGCACTGTCAGCATGGAGCCCGATGTGGGGCTTGAGCTCCTGAGCTGAGCGGAAGTCCAGTGATTGAACAATTGAGCCACCTAGGCAACCCAACTTTTAAAAAAATGTTAAAAAAAAGTTTGAAAGGGAGCCTGGTCTTTGCTTTGGGAATGGATTAGAGAAGGGCAATGGTGAGTATAGATGAAGCTCTGTGCATCTGAAAGATGATCACTAGATCAGCCAGGGAGATGGTTGTGGTGAAGAAAAGTGGAGGAATTTGGGGGATAAATCATCAGCCTTATGACAGGTTGGTGTGAAGGAACCTGTCAGAGATGACCCTTGTTTTCTGGTTTGTGCTCCTGATTGGGCAGAAATGCCTAAAAATGATGTGTCACTGCTCCTCAGTGCACCTGGATTCCCTCTTTTTTCCCTTTGCAACTTCTGCACACCCTATGCCACCCACAATACTTCTGCCTACTTCTCTCCTTATAGGTTTACTTTAGTCAGGTCAGCTTAATAAGTTTTACCTAGTTCTAGTCTTAGACAAAACACAAAGAGTTTCTCATGTGGGTTACATGGAAGGAAATAAGGATTTACAAGATATAGAAAGGTAGAATGTCAGTGCTCAAGGCAGCCAGAGACAGCATTGTGGCCTTGGTGAGCCACTTAAGATTTTAAGTTTGTTTCTATTTTCTCAAACTCTTAGGGTTATTTCCAAGATTAAATGGGATGATCTATGTAAACGGTTTAGTGGAAGTTCTGGAGCATCTTAAAGTGGAGAAACAATAGGGTTTTTTTGTGTTTTTTTTCTTTTTTAACAAATAAGAGAAATCACGTTTAAGTCTGGGTTTTGGGGGGGGAAGAGTAGAGGTTTGTTACCTGGCAAGTTATTTTTAAAAAAATAGTAATCTAAGGCTTATTTAGGTTGAGGGGCAGTTGGGTGGCTCAGTTGATTAAGCATCCCACTCGTGATCTCAGCATGGTGAGTTCAAGCCCTGTACTGTGCTCCCCACTAGGCCTGGAGCCTACTTAAGAAGAAGACGACTTATTTAGGTGAATCTATTTATTTAATTAATTTATTTATTTTTAAATGTTTTATTTCTAGGAGAGATAGAGAGACAGCATGAGCAGGGGAGGGTCAGAGAGAGAGGGAGACACAGAATCTGAAAAAGGCTCCAGGCTCTGAGCTGGCAGTCAGCACAGAGCCCGACGCGGGGCTCGAACCCACGAACCGCGAGATCATGACCTAAGCGAAAGTCGGACGCTTAACCGACTAAGCCACCCAGGCGCCCCTATTTAATTTATTTATTAATACTGAGTTGCATCAAAAAGAAAACGAAAAATAAGCTGTGATCTGTCTAGACAGACCTGATGATATGTAAAATAAAGGTGCTACAATTTAAGATTTAAAAAATTCAAACAATATAAAAATATACAAAGTTACCAATTAAGGCAGACCTCTCCTTCCCTAAAGTTCCCAAAGTAACCACACTATAGTCGTTACTTTTTTCCTAAGTTAAAAAAAAAAATTGGAGGGGAAACAAATAGTTTTTCAAAATAAACTAATATGTTCCCCATTTAAGACTGGCCTACCTGCATTATTTTGAAAAGCTAACCAGGTGAGTCTGCTAAGTACCCCTCAGGTCCACACTCAAGTGAGTAATCAGCAGCCCGTCTCAAAGTAAAAATGTCAAATTAACCTACCAATTCGTTTTCGAAAATCCGGGTCTTAGAGGTTTTAAAAAAAAAAATCCCACCCACCGACGCTGCGTGTCATACTTGAGATGCAAATATTAATTGGAGCCTCTGACGCGCCCTTTTCCTCCTTTAGTCCGGAAATGCTTTTAGAGTCAGAAAGACAAGAGCTTCTGATTGGCTGTCAATCCGTAATAGGTTAATTAAAAACTAAAAGTCGTAGCTTCTTAAAGTAAAAAAACCTCGTAAGAGTATTCAGAATTTTTTTAAGGTGGCATATAAAATAACGTTTTAGAAATTATGTGGTATTTCTCAAAAAGGAGGTATGTGGGGGGGGGGGAATGTCGCCATCAGCGAAAAGTGGATGGCTGCTATAGACGCAGCAGAGTTAGGGAGTCACCGGCTAAGACTATACTTTCAGGGATCATTTCTATAGTTCATTACTAGAGAAGTTTCTCTGAACGTGTAGAGTACCCGAAACCACAAGGAGGAGATGCAGTGTCCCTTCCTGAGCGTGAAGCCGACTTTGGGTGTTGTCCTTACAGCTGCCCTTTGTCATTGATGATCGTTCCACTTCTCTTTCTTGGAGGAGTGAGAGGGAAGGGATGTTATCTGAGTGGTTTCTGTTAACAGAGCTATCAAGAACTGAGATAATTGTGCTTTTTGGTTGTTGTGACATTGAGATAGGCTCTTTTCAATTGGTGCAACAGTAGTGGCACTCCGTCCTTGCTACTTAAAGCTATGGTACTCTTGTGTCAAGGTGTTTCTCGCTGTAATTTCTGAGCTAGCGTGATTTTCTTTAGTTTTCTTTTTAAAGGTGTTTAGTAGTTTTGAGAGTCTAGCTGGGAATCCAGAGGGGTGGGCAGAGAGAGGGAGACGCAGCTAAAGCAGGCTTCAGCTTCTGATAAGACATTAAGTCGGAGGGGTTTAGTCTTAGCATAAAAGAGCAGAGAATAGTTTTTTCTTGCCATCCTAGTTAGTAGTATGGTATTAAAAAAGTGACTTAGTGTCTTGTGTAGCCTGAAGTCACTAACACTGTGTTGGCAATTCAGTTGTGTCAGGGGTTGAGGTGCAAGTGTGAGGCCAGTTTAGGCACCTTCTGCATTCATCTACACATAGCATAGAATGATGGTGGTGATTGAGAAAGACAAATTGACCAGATGTGAAACATATTTGTGTACTGTTGGCAGAATTTGGGGGATTGGTTTTCAGTGTAGGTATAGTGAGAGATATATTAAGGATAATTGTCAGAGACACCTGGGTGACTCAGTTGATTAAGCATCCGACTTCTGCCCAGATCTTGGTCTCAGTTTTTGAGTTTGAGTCCTGCGTTGGGCTTGGTGCTGGTATCTTGGATCCTGGAACCTGTTTCGGATTCTGTGTCTCCCTCTCTCTGCCCCTCCCCCACTGTCTCTCAAAAATAAACATTTTAAAAAATTTTTAAAAAAAAGGATAATTGTCATGTTTTATGGCTTGAGCAAATGGGTTCCTTGTGTTAAGATGGGGAGAGTGGAAGAACTGAATTAGGTTGGAAAGTGATAAGAGTTCAGTTTAGGATATATTTAGGAGAGATTTCTGACCTTTAACAGATGATTGCCATAAGGGGCAGCCAGATAGTTAGAAGGGAAACCAGATGAACGTGCTTGACCAAAGCCATGGAAGGGGAGTGGGGACAGAGAAGTGTATAGAAAGGAGATGAGAGATGAAGTTGCACTTAGAAAGGTATCCATGGTATTTAATGGTGACTTTCTTGGTCTTGTGATAGAGAAACTCTTTTGGGATGGGCTGATCAGTGAAGGGTAGAAGGGCTTGTCACTCAGTGGGTGTAAAGAGCTCCTGGAAGAAAATCAAGCAGTGATAGAGATTATAGAGGTAGATATGCATTTAGCTAGTGGAGGGTAAGGAGGGGTGAAGGGTGGGGGGTGGAAGGATATGGGATATAGATAGGGTTTAATTTTTTATTTTTTTAAACGTTTATTCATTTTTGAGAGACAGAGTGTGAGCAGGGGAGGGGCAGAGAGAGAGGGAGACACAGAATCCAAAGCAGGCTCCAGGCTCCAAGCTGTCAGCGTAGAGCCTGATGCGGGGCTCAACCTCACGAGCTGTGAGATCATGACCTGAGCCGAAGTCCGACACTCAACTGACTGAGCTACCCAGGCGTCCCAGACAGGGTTTATTTAAAGATGGGAGAACAAGTCTGAGTTCAGATGGAAGGATTGGGTAGAGCAGGAGAAATTGAAATTTAGGAGAGAGCAGCTCCCACTGGGCAGCCAGAGTTCATGGGAAGTGCAGATGTAGGTGGTGTGTCCCTGTAGTGAGATCATACTGAGGGTGTTTCATCTGATAGCTTCAAGTTCAGTGCCAAGTGTGAGGCAAAATTGTTGCTGAGGTAGGCTGATGAGGAGAGTTGAGAATAAAGAAGGAATTAAGGGTATTTGGCTGGCTCAGTTAGTAGACATGAGACTCTTGATCTCAGGGTTGTGAGTTCAGGCCCCACATTGGGTGTAGAGATTAGTTAATAAAATCTTAAATTTTTGTTTTAATATTCTTTATTTTTAGAGAGAGACAGAGTGGGAGTGGGAGAGGGAGACACAGAATCAGAAACAGGCTCCAGACTCTGAGCTGTTAGTACAGAGCCTGATGCAGGACTCAAACTCATGAACTGTGAGATCATGACCTGAGCCAAAGTCCGATGCCCGACTGACTGAGCCACCCAGGCATCCCTTAAAAATAAAATCTTAAAAAAAAAAAAAGGAGAAAGAACGAAATCATCATTCCAGGATGCAGGTGTGGAAAAGGTGCCTCCCAAGGGGTGCCTGGCTGGCTCAGTTGGTGGAGCACATTGGGTATAGGGATTACTTAAAAATAAAATTAAAAAGAAAGAGGGGCACCCGGGTAGCTTAGTCGGTTGAACGTCTGACTCTTTTTTTAAAACATATTTAACGTTTATTTATTTTGAGAGACAAAGCACAGGTGGAGGAGGGGCAGAGAGAAGGAGACACAGAACCAGAAGCAGGCTCCAGGCTCTGAGCTGTCAGCACAACTCATGGACCTCGAGATCATGACCTGAGCTGAAATTGGGACGCTTGACTGACTGAGCCACACAGGCGTCCCGGAAGTTTCTTACCCTCAGTCTTTCCCTCTAACCTAGGGAGATGTAGTAGTAATAGCATCGGTACATGGGATTCTTGTAAAGAAAAATTAGATAAAGCAAGTGCAGTCATAGAACACTCCCTTCCCCCATTCTAAAAAAGCCTCTCCCTGAGATGAGAAATGCCTGTCTCTTCTCCAGTCTTTCCTGTTATCAGCAGCGTGCACGGAGTTGTTCCAGGCACAGACTGGCTTGTCATCTTTGAAACCTTGTTCCCTCACCCATCAGTGTGTACATCAGTGTGTCCTGTTAATTCAACTTCCAGAACAGGTGAAGTTTCTCCTTCCAAATGCAAGTCATGGGGCGCCATGGTTAAGTGTCCAACTTCGGCTCAGGTCATGATCTCATGGTTCGTGGGTTCGAGCCCTGCGTTGGGCTCTGTGCTGACAGCTAGCTCAGAGCCTGGAGCCTGTTTCAGATTCTGTATTTCCCTCTCTCTCTCTGATCCTCCCCTGTTCATGCTGCCTCTGTCTCTGTCTCTCTCTCAGAAATAAATAAAACATTAAAAATTTAAAAAAAAAAAAAACAAAAAACAAATGTAAGCCATGATGATGACTCCCATAGACCCCTGAGACAGTGGTCTCAGAGCTGGTCTCCACAGCTTTAAACTTCTCAGTGGCCTCCTATCACACTTAAAATCCAGACTTCCCTGGTCTTGCCCTTCCCTAGAACACCCTCAGATATCTGGCCCCTGCCTGGCCTTCCTTCTCCCTCATTACCCTTATGCTCCCTAGCTGTCCTCAAGTGGCTGGAATGTACAACTCTGTTCCCTTCTTTGAATCTTTGCATTAGTTGTTTTCTCTGATTAAATGTAACGTCCAAAGAGAGCCTTCTTTGACTACCCAAATCTAAAGTAGCCACCAATCTCTCTGTGTTTCAACACTGAAAAAATCCTGAGCATGCCTTATTATCTGACCTCCTCTCTCCATCACTAGAATGTAAGCTCAGTGTGATGAGAGTAGGGACCTTTACTCACCTTCACACCTCTGTATATCCAATTCCTAGGATAGTACTTTAGCACGTAGAAAAGTGGAATAATGGTTAAGGTGACCTACCACCTCTGCTATTTAACAGCTGTGTGACCTTCGGCAAATTACCCAATCTTTCTGTGTCTGTTTCTCCGTCTATAAAACTGGATGACGAAAAGCAAAGCACTGAGAATGATGCCTGGTATCTGGTAAGCCCTCAGTATATAGTAGCTAATATTATCAAGAATTGGCACTTAAGTTGTAGCTCGCACCCAGGAGTATAAGGGGTTCAGAGCACGTGGGTCTGGGGTTCCCAGATAGACCAGCTTCAGCCATTTGCCACTGACAAAACCGAAAGGCAGAGAAACTGTTGGGAAGGTAAGTAAAGCTATGCACCGTAAGATGGCTGCCGGGAATAACATAAGCTCTAGCTCCTGGCTTAGAGCCTCTTGTGGGTTCTTCCTCCTGCTCTGCTTGCCTTTCACACCAAATTACTACTAATGTGGAGTATGGAAATAACAGATGGTAAATTGTCCCCCGTGCTTGTGCTCGAGACTCAGATCTCTGGAGAAGGATCTCCTCTGAGCCCACCGGTGTAAAGTAAAGCTCCAATCCACCAAGATCTCCGAGTGCCACTTGGTTTTCCTGCCAGTGTCCCAGCCTGGTTCTATAACAAAACAAGGGGAGATGAAACAAGAAAGGACTCTATTTCAGTGAAGCCCATACCGGGAAGACAATGGACTAGTGTCTAAGACTGTCTCCAAAATGCCCCAAATACTTCTAGGTTTGTATAAGGAAAATGTGGGGTAACGGTGGGTGGGTGCATGCAGGTAGGCAGTGAAGGTTAAATCGATAATTGTCTTGAAGTTAATTCCAGGTAGGGTCTTGCTGGCTCAGGGCAGTCCTAGTTGCTTAAGGGAGTAGTTTTGGTTCCCAATAGGTTATGCTTTTTCTGCAGGATCTTTGCTTGAGTTAAGAAATAAGCTCAAGGGGCAACTGGGTGGCTCAGTTGGTTAAGCGTCCAACTTCGGCTGGGATCATGCTCTTAGCATTCAGAATTCGAGTCCCCTGTTGGGCTCTGTGCTGGCAGCTTAGAGCCTGGAGCCCGTTTTGGATTCTGTGTCTCCCTCTCTCTCTCTCTGCCCCTCCCCCATTTTGGATTCTCTCTTTTTCTCTCTCAAAAATAAATAAACATTTAAAAAAGTTTTTATTTTTTTATTAACAAATTTTTTTTAATGTTTTACTTATTTTTGAAAAAGAGAGAGAGAGAGCGTGAGCAGGGGAGGGTCAGAGAGAGAGACGGAGACACAGAATCCGAAGACGGGCTCCAGGCTCTGAGCTAGCTGTCAACACAGAGCCCAACGCTGGGCTCGAACCCACGAACCGTGAGATCATGACCTGAGCCAAAGTTGGACGCTTAACTGACTGAGCCACCCAGGCGCCCCTAAAAAAGTTTTTAAAAAATAGATAAGCTAGAAAGAAAACCTTAGGGGTGCCTGGGT